CCCTCTAACCCCCCCCCCCCCCCCCCCCCCCCCCAAAAGTGCGTTGCAGGTGCTAATGAGAAAAGACCTCCGCGAGAAGACGAGTCCACATCCCGTGTCTCCCGTCGCCTACTCCATCATGACATGACGCGACCGCATTCGTACGGATTACCAACCGGCAGTGGAAGAGAGGCGCCAAGGAGGGGAGGAGAGAAGCCTCCAGTAATGAGAATAGGAACAGAAAAAAAAGAGGGGTGAATTCCTGTGCAGGTTCTGTTCCCGCGCGAGACTACGGACGGAGCGGAAAGATTTCTGTTTCGCGCTCCGGCACCGGGCTCGGTACGAAACCCAGAGGATAGATGTCGCCTCCCTCCTTTCCACTGTCGCAACACCACCTGACCAAATCACATGACTTACAATCCGCTCCCTTCCCAGGCTGTCCAACTACCGTCAACGACATTCCAGCTAAAATTAACCTATTCGTCCACTTCATTACGCTAATTTATTCGTCTATTCCATTACAGATATACTTGTTTTCTAACTCTACCCAACACTTCCACATACTGAAAATTTTTCACCCCTGGAAGACGGACCTTCCCGGCAAACGCGACGTTTCTTTTTGATGAATTGAATCGGTCGGCTTAGAACAATGGTTATGCATGATTTACACCCACCATCTAAAAGACACGTGGAGTTCCTCCCTACCCGATCTGCAGCATTCCCTCTCTCGAAAGCACGAGATAGCTTTTTTTTTTACGATTTCTTTATCCTCTTCCTCGACGCAATCCCGCACGACACGTGAAGCAATCGCATACCTTGAGGTCCTTGAAGTAAGCAGAATTTCTTGCCCAGTCGACTTGCGCAAACAAGTTCTGCTCGAGAACTTTGCACATGAGTTCAAAGAGGTCCACTTCGCATTGGTTGTACGTCTGGTTTTGAAGGAGACCGAAGAGAGCATTTTGCCAGTCTTTATCGTCGAGCGTGGCGACGATTTCGCGGATCACAGGAGGGATCTTCCCCGCCGGAGTAGGACTCGGGTGCAGGAACCAATCGTACTGCAAGAGACACACACGCCCACCCCACGATTACGAAAATTTCCCTGGGTCCGCTCGACAACGGGGCCAAGGAAGATTGCCTCACCTGGAAGGCTTTGGATGAGGGGCTCGGGGAAGCAGCCGAAGCAGCAGCCGTTCCAGGTCCTGCACTCACATTCCCCCACAGCTTCGGATCACTACCATGTCCAGGTCCACTACCAGCACCACCACTACCCCCACCCGCCCCACCACCACCTAGCGCCGCGGATACGACGGAAGTGGACGTCCCTGTCCGACTGTTCTGATGACCAGGTACCAGAGGGGTGGTGGGAGCCCCACTCCCACCTCCTCCCCCGCCGCCCCCGTTCCCACCGTTGGAGAGCGGATGAGTCCCCAAGACGGGGAGACCAGCACCACTAGTTCCTCCCCCTGCTCCACCCGCCCCGCCACTACCACCACCGGCGCCACCAGCGGCACTGCCCACTCCGGAAGGCCCACCGACGAGAGACTGAGGACCGGGCATTGGAGACGGCGACGAATCCGGAGACGACGTGGAACTGCTCAGCTGCGGTATCTGGATGAGCTCCTGCTTGATGTGCGGCGGCGGCGTGCACAGGGCATAGAAGGACGAGTGATTGAGGCGATTCATCCGGCCGCTCGAGTCCGAGACGACCGCGTTCACGTTGTTCCCTGCTCCACCGGGTCCAGGTCCGCCTTGCTGGATGGCCAACTGGCGTTGCCTCAGCATCTGGAGCTTCCGGGCTCGGTCCCGCTTGTACATGGGCCCAAATTTATTCCGACCGCCTCGCATCCTGTCCGCACGCACCGCTGCAAAGACACAAACATCACATCGTTCTAAGTTCACGGCCACACCATGTTTCGTGGAGTACCGACAGGTGAATCACAGTAACCTATATAATTATATATGTTATGATTCCACGTCATTAATAGTCTTCTGAACTTAGGATACACAGACGAATCGAGGACTGAGCTCCGATACCGAGTGCCTCTGGAAATTAATTCCCGATTCCGCGTGAATCATACAGAACGCTAACGTGCCATGACAAGCGGAAAACATCCGATACTCTTCCAAAAAGCCTGCCATCGGAAAAGAGTGAGACTCCTCGAGACGAAGTGAGAGCCAAACAAATCCAACGGCAAAAAAAAAACTATATTCATAACTTAGCCCTCAAAGTTATCGTCGTAACAGCTTGGATCAGTCACGATGATAACTTTGAGGGCGAGAAGAAAAAGGAAAGCCTTCACCGGCTTTCCTCTCCGAGGCATCTCAAACACGTTATCTCCGTTATGCATATTTTAGGGGGCGCAGCCAACCCACTCGTCTGCGGGGCCAACATGCCGGGCGGAGGACGAAGGCGCACGCAAGTGGCAAGCATCGACAAAGGACACACGAAGGACACGTAGATGAATCGCGGATAAAGGATGATACCATAGTAAAGTTCTGGGTCTTCGGAGTCGGAGATAATATATAAAGCGCATCGTGAAAAACAGACTGACGTCATTTGACACAGGATCGATACAATTCCTCTCGTTTGATGATAACACGCGAAGGAAAATTAATTCCTCTTTGGAGTAAACTGCGCACGAAAAGCACAAACATTACGTTCTCCTAAATAATTATTATTAATAAATAAAAAAACTTGAAAATAGCGATAAATAAATATAAATACGAGGAATAGAGAGATCTGGCCTGAGGTAGTTCAATTTCCCGCTCGGTAGTTGCAAACAGTGATAATCTGAGGATCGATCTCCAAGCCACGGAACTATTAATAAAGCCTGATTACCAATATACGGGTGAGTGAGCGTGCAGAAAAGCTCGTCGAACGCAGGCAGAAGAGACCCGCCTGATAATAGGTACACAAACCAGCCATTCAGCGATGAGAAATTATTAATTCGGGTGAACTGGGGCGGATAACCGTCTCGGTGACGAGGACTGAACTCAGCGCACATCACATCGGCCTGCAAAACGCGCACGGCGCGCGCACAATCGCCTCGGCACAGCCGAGTCGACAGGAAGCGCGAAAATATTTAGGCTTCTTTAATCAGAGGCCCTATGGGAGGCTTCCCGTCGCCGTGCACGGTCCCTAGACCGAAACCGTACCAGTCTGCGAAGAAGAAAAAAAAAATCAACGGATGTGGCTTGATGAAGAGATCGAGCGATTAGCGAGAATGGGCCCCACGACTCCGACAAGGCAGTTCAAATTAAGTCCTGCGATGGCAAGTTCCCATTAATGGAAAACCAAAGCTTCACGTGTCCAGGGTAAATTACATAGTCTTCTTTTTGTCGGATGTAAACTACAAACAAGAAGTAGCGACCTTGACTTGGGACCTCCGCAGGATCCACCCGATGAGTCAGTAAGAATTCGAGATTTCTAGGAGATCGGCCCCTCATTCTCATGCAAAAATGTCTTCAGACAACGGTCCAGCCGCTCATTGTCAGGAAGCGCCTAAAATTCCAGGAATGTGGCAACATCGCAACGGACGGATTTCGTCCGTTACGCGAAGATGATCGAGGAAGACTGCCATCCCAAGTGCCACCCCCACGAGATGCCTTCCCGAGCACGATGGAAGAGTGGCTCGAGCGGGGGTCACGCCCGACTCTAAGAGACGTTCTTGCTCGTAACTGTCTCGCTGTACATGTCTGTAACTCAAAATTTTCGAGCGCGGTTTATCACCTAGTATTACACAGCGGGAAGCGAGGAGCCATTCCTTGCCTTCGACAAGGATTAAAATGAAAAAGGATTCCGTCGGTCTCGCCGGCACCTCCTCTAAATCATTTGAGAGCACCTCACACACGAGGACATCACTGGCCTCACACGGTCCAGAAAGATGGACGCGATCCATCGCTGCACGGCTTTGCGGAAAGGTCGAACTCGGCCAGCTCGGTTCCAAGACTGGATTTACTACTTCGCTCTCGAAAGATTTGTGGACCCCGATACGGTTCCCAGATTACTTCGGCGGCTATTGACCTTAAAGATCTGAGGCAATATCCCACAATGAGCGAGAAAGGTCAAAGGGCGAGAGCGAATTTGTTGTTTTCCTCAGCTACTGAAGCATCAACGGAGTTTCAGTTTCGAGTGCATGGAGTATCTGCTCTTTCTTCCATAATTAATTCAACATAAATTGTGCCGAAACTTGAATATTAATAATTTTCGTGACGACACGAAAATGGCTTATCCGTGAGCACTCACTTCGTCCCTGCGGATACTTTACTTTTTCTCCCTCCCAAAAATACTTAAAATATACTTAATGGAAAACATTATTTTTAATTTCTTCACCGCCAGCAGTTTGATAAAGACCTATTGCTTAAGAACCATCTCTTTCCTCTTAGTTTGCCTCTCTGTCGAGTACCGACAATAATTTCATGTACCCAAAAAAAGAGAGTGAAATGCCTTCAAGTTAAAATTATTTATGAGTAGGGTAAGTGCAACGCTTCGAGACGTGCAGCACATATCAAACGAGATGCCCCTTTGAGACCCCCCTCCCACTCCCCCCTTATCTCTAAATCCATGCAACCCCTCCAGAGAAACGCGACGCCGCGCAACGTGCACTGAGAGTGAGAGCAACACATGATCCAGAGCAAAGTGGGTCACCCTTCGGCCCCGAGGGAAGGGGGGGGGGATGCAAAAACGGGAGGTGAAATCACGGGACGCCCTCTTCGCTTTTATCCACGGGAATAAAAAAAAAAATGTTAACCGTGCTCAATCCAATGGTAAGCCTCCTTTCCGGTCGGTCTGAGATGAATAGGAGAACTACAAGATGGCGTGGGCTCGGTAAAGGGGTGGTATTCCGTGGTTTCCTGGGCGAAATTGCTCTTACAGACGAAAATGCGGATTTCTCATGTATTTCAGGATACACATCCGACTGTCATCGAGAGTCAAATCGGCAGTCGGTGACGGGGATCCCGCGACTGCGCGTGCAAAGACTTCGCAGTTTTAATATTCCCCCCCCCCCCCCCCCCCCCCCCAAAGATTTCACGCAGGATCCCCGAATACCCCTGGAAACGCTGACGAAAGCTCCGCGCTCGCACACAGGCACACACGACATCCGGGCGCGATTGCACAAGGAGCCGTCTGGTTTACGGGCGGGGAGGGCTCGCTAAAAAGGTCATCTCGTCTGTTCCTTCAGGTGTCGCAGCCCCTTATCAACCCGGCTCACCTATTCAGACGGGAGGGCCCTTGTTTGCATTCCGGTCGCAACCGATTCCCCCCATCGTTCCTTCGTTTTGGCGTCCGAACACATCGGCCGAAGCAGGCTGAATAATTATCGAGGGTTACAGAGACCGAATCCGATTTTTCACTCTGAGCCCCGACAGGAACCCCATCTAAGACTGAATGTTCGGAAGATAAAAAGTCATATTTCACCTCACGCAGCTCACGTACGGCAGTTCCCTTTTTATCGATTGTAAGTTCTCCACGGGGCAGGACTGCAAACGACAGCGCAGAGCCGACGCAAATGATTATGATGTAAACGGTAAGAGGGAAAAGTGCAGTACATACAATTAACGAGTACTGTTGCACTGGTGTCACGCATCTGGTGCAGGCCTATTGCATGACGCATAGGTGTGTTACATGGTTACTACTATCAAACAACACGCGGAATGCGCAAGATTTCCTATAACTGTGTAAATATATGCTAAACCAAAGCCGCATCCCCCTCTAAATACCCATGTTACTGCATGCGTTTATCGAGTCACATGGCATTCCCGTGACAGACGATACCCGAGCAAAGATCAGACGGAAAACAGGAGAGACGGCGGAGAATGAATACCGAGAATAGCCACTCGGAAGGCCCCCCACCCCCCCTCGTTAAATAATTTGCCAGAACTTGCAAGGTGGATCCATCGCACAACTAAGTACATGATCGACCGACTCCTTCCGAATGCGAGCAGGTGCCACCCGTCGAGCGATTCGAGAAACGAGGCATTCAGGTGGAGACGTCCTCATTCCCACCGACCGACTCAACCCCATCAGAGGACGAAAACATCGCCCGAGCAGAGGAGGATAAACAACACCCCTTTCCCTCTCACTTGGAGGGACGACAGAGAATGCCTTCAAAATAAAAATGGGTGGGGACGGGAAAGATAAAAGCCCTCGACGCATAAAAAAAAAGGAAGGGGCCTGCGCTTCGTATCCCCAGACTCAGAGCTCGAGACTTCTTCGCGTACTGATACCGACGCGGAGATAACGACTCGGGAACGTGCACGGACTACCTGGAAAACGGTCCTAAAAAAGGGATGCTCGCGACTAAGTATGTCAAGAGGTGAGAAATAGTAGGGCGAGGTCGAGCCAGGGAGAGGGAGGGAGGCAGAAGGGGCACAGATCAATAGTTGGCCTGGCTCGGCCTCGACCCAGGCCGGGAGCCATGAAACTAGGTCAATGGGTATATGGGATGGTGGGGCTCCCATGACCCACTTATTCTTCCTTAGCTTGTCCTCATTTCGTCTCCTTCCTTCCTTCTTTCCCTCCCTCCCTCCCTCCCTTGTCGCTAGGCAGGGTCCCTCCCGCTCAGGAAATAGAGGGACTCGGAACCTCCAACCTCCCCCCTCCCCATTTCCACTTTCACCGCCAGAACTGTTATTTTTTACGGGAGGGAGACGAAGGGGAGCATAACAGGTGACCGTCGCTCGGGGATAACGGGGCCGGCCCTCAGTGGGAGGAGGGAAGAGAAGGAGGTGGGTGGAGGAACCGTAAACACGATCGGAGGAAGACGTTGCGGGCTATCTGCTCCGTCCCGAACAAAACGAAGCCTCTACGGTCGGCTTGCAGACCGAAGGGGTGTTACGCGACTGGGCGGTGCACAAAAGCGGGATGAGTAAGGGGCCAAGATTCCACATTTTTATTACGTTAGTACGCTTCGCTTCACCGCCCAAGTACAGGAGAGATGCGTCATCCCGCGTCGAAATGGTCCGGTGATGTATTTCGAGACAATGCCAGAGAAGGAATAAAGAAGCGAAGGACCTCGGTCTTCGAATCCCTGAATCCCCTCTTTGTCTAAATGAATCATGACGTCAGCTTCGCCAGCCAAGATCTTTGTTCTTTACGCTCAATCACTGCCTGCGACAGCAACGTAACTTTCCTCTTCTTGTCTCCCCAAAAATGTCTGTGCCCCGAAGTTATGCATTAAAAAAAGCAGCCGCAGTCCGACGGTTCCCAACTCGTAGAAGGTCATTTTCTCCACTCGTTTCGAGTCCTGGCTGACACGTGGGATAACCGCATAAGTACCCCGTGACGTCACGAGCCCGACCGAATGGGTGCGTCTCGTTACCGAGCCCGCTCAACAAGATCTCTTTTGAGTCCTCATCAAGGGATCGCTATGGGTCACCGGGCACTCGCCCTGCAAACACTGGAGCGTCGATGGCAGCTCTCACGAACGTCCGGGCGGAATGACACCATTCGCTTAAACCCCCGTGTCCAGCCCGCCCGATGGGGGTTTCCGAATCGGTGATCCGAATAGCGGCGGCGCAATTTAGAAGCTCGGCCTGTCTGCATATCATAGTCTTCTAGGCCGAAATTCTCATGTTTCGCATTCTACTGCATGCCTAAGCCCACGACGTCACTTTTTTTTTCCTATTAAAGGGCAACGTCCTGGAAATAATGGCTCGAGTACCTCCCGATATTCAAGAAAAAGTTGTAGTCCTTCGACGGGGTGGTCACCTTGAAGCCTCACCGCCGATCACTTCGTATAACGGGATGTGACACTTCCTCGTTAAGGAAGACCGTCTAGCTGTGCTTCCCTCGTGGATCGGACGAAACAGAACCCCGTGTTACTGGGCGCACCCACGGCGCAGCAGAACCGATGAAGAATACTCGACATCCGAGACCACTTACTGGATCGAAAGAGTAGCGGATTGCACAAGGGGCAACCGCTTAATGGTGCCACAGTCCTCAACGTTCTACGGTCTACGGACCCCCTTCGTTGCCCGAGAGAAAATCGAGGTCTGAACCACTAAGGGCATGGAAATTGTGGAAATGCGATAAAGCAAAGGACATATAGCGTTTGCTAATTACGGTACAGAGACTGGAGGTGGCATCATATGGGGGGGGGGGGAGGAAAGAAAGAAAGAGAGAGTGAGTGAGTCAAGAGTGAGTGCGTGCATGCCCGGAGGGGATGTATGTAAGGACCAAGTTCACGGTTGCAGCAACTGGCTCCCCCGACTCCCAGAGTCAGCCTCGGGCTGGCCTTCCCTCTCTCCCACTTTCCCTTTCTATGATCTTGGCCAAGAAAATCCCTGGCCCCGTGGCAAAAGAAAGCGAGAGGGAACACGTGCTCCTTCATCATCTCATCTGCCAAGGAGTCCGGTTTGCCAATCGGAGTGCTCTACGAACGCAACGAGATCCCCGTTAACCGTATGCATCCGGATCCGAAAGCTCGTCTCGCAGTTCCCACTCCGTCGAACCGAAGGCGATCGATCCATGCTGCAGGAAACGCGTCGCGATCACGCGATGAACTAGGTCGGCGAAAATACTCATACGAAAACGTCCTATCTGAAGGCGAGAAACGCGCTGCCGAACGGGCGGCTTCTGCTGCGACTCCGAGCGAGAAGCACGGCAACCCCAGAATTCTCTAACGAGAGAAACGGGGCGCAAAGAGCAAGAGTCAGAAGTTTGGTAGGTGTATGACCATGAGGCCAAAGTGGCATCCAAGCTAAAAGGGACGGGGAGGGGGGGGGGGGGGGGGGGGGGGGGGGGGGTCCCCCCCCCCCCCCCCCCCCACAACCCCCTCTCGGCCTCCTCTGGATGAAGCGAACAGTCGCAGTCAGAACCCGATAGCAACCGACTCCGGTTACGATCGAGTTTCGTCTGCCTGTCAAACGAAAAGCCGGATCCGCGCTCGTCCCGCTTCTACGATTTCGACTCCCCGTGATCACGCCGCCTCCTCTCCGATCGGCGGCACATCCGACAGGCGACGTAAAGCAGAAAAAAAAAGCGCTCGTTCCGTGGGTCTCCGGCGAAGCAACGGGAGGATGGGAGAACAGGTCTGAGGCAGCGAGGTTATTAGTTCATGCACAGTCCTCTTGCGTAATAAACACACGGTTCACAACTGAGGGAGGGAGGGAGGGGAGGGATTTCCTAAAGCAACAAGAGGGAGGCACATTATCCTGCAGCATCGGGACTCCCACTGCTTATTCCTAACTCCTCATTTCTTCTCCCATTGGACGCAGCAGCACCTGTGCATTTTATATTTGTTTTTATTATTTATTTTTTATTATTTAATTTTCAATTTCGAGCAGATGAGAGTATTTCATTAGCATTTTAGGCATCATGTCTAACACCGATATTATAGTCTTATTGTTATCTTTAATCAAGTCTCCTCTCGACTGGCTTCAGAATAAGCTCATAATCAAGGGCTTCGAAGTTCCCCAAACTCTGTATAACCATGTGTCGTGTCTTGGTTGCTGCAAAACCGCCAGGGCTAATCCCTCCAGAATTTTACATTGAAAATGTACGCTATTGCATCTCAAACGACAAGAACACTAAATGTTATCATACTCGCTCTGATCGCATCGACACGGCTCCAAACTCAGAACCCACCAGTCCAACAATCTCGCTCAAAAACTTTACTTCGCATCTCGTTGGCGACGAAGATGAGTTGAAATTCGGACGCACGTGAAGCAAATCTGGACCGATGGAGTTCATAAAAGGCCAGCGTCTACTCTTCCTTACCCTCCCATACCGTTTTATCATACATCACCGCCATCTGTATCATTTACAATTTGCGTTTGTAGCCTTCACGAACGCCAGATGAACATATCATAACATAGTGTCTGCGCAACCAAAGGCAGAGCATCACAGACCCGCAAAGGTTTCCTTCTCTCGCGATACCATATGAGACTCCCCGCGTCAGGAGTAACGGTGCGGGAGGAAATTCCCTGCGGTTACTTTCGATTGCGAGCGGCATCTCACCTGCTGTCTAAAATTGATCATTGCTAGGGGTGCTACAGCCTACAAATTGGTTCACACCCCCACTTGCCCTGCGGTGTGGCGCCTTTGGCGCGCGCGCAACGGGTGGCGGATTCGCATAACTGTAGCGCAGCGTCGCATGGTCGGTTTGCGCAGGCACCTGGCCGTGCACAACCAATGCTTTCAAATGCCTCGACATGCAAGGCGCAAGTCGACAATAAACCTTCAGGTGGCATGATTGTTTTTTGTTTTTTTTTTGCAACCTCATTTCTGATCGTGACTTTTCCGAGACCAATAACGTCGACCATAAAAACTTTCTGAGACCATCAAACCAGTGCATGAGAACAAAAAGGAAACAAGAAAAACCGTTCCATTGTCGAAACGGCAGGGGACCTAAGTGCACGAGGACGAGACGAAACGAAACGACCGAGCGTAATCGGCTGGGAACGTTATTATGTAATTGCATCATCCCTAGACCTCGTTTCAACGCTGGGCTGATTTTCAGAAATGGGGCAAGCCACTCTCGCCCTTATTGCCCCTGACCATGAGGGCGAGCTCCCCCTCTCCACTGCTGTCACCCCGACCTCCCTCTAAGCCCAGAGCTCCACCGGGGGATTACCAGCACTCCGACTCCAATAGAACAGAAATGGCGGCGATAGCCGCGTACCCCGAGGATGGTGGTTGCTGGGGAGAAGGAGGAGAAGGAGGAGGAGGAGGAGGGGAGCGAAGGCGAGGGCGACACGCCATCATGGAGCCCCATTGGGGTGATGACGAAACGCCCCCCCGCTCTCTCCAGCCCCTCGGCTTGGGGGACGTGAAGAAATAGCAGAGCCTCCATTGACGCGACAAGAACGTATCATGAATGATGCAGCCCAAGGATCAAATCCAAATAAACAATTCGGGCTAGGGCAAGGGGATCGGTCTCCTCCGAGAGTACGAGACGAAAGCAGCACGGATCAGAAATCTGCCAGTCCAACTTGCACGGTCCCGATACCGCAGGAAATTCGGCGCCGACCTCGTTCTCGGAATGTGCTCGCATGCGTCCTCGACGAAACGCTCGAGTGTAGTCGACTCGTTTCCCTGTCACTTTCTAACACGCAAACAGGACTTCGGACTTTTTTGAAAGAAGGGGCAAAATATTCACTTTCACGCCCTTACAAAACCGTTTCTCATTTCGTCCTGTTTCAAGTCGACGAATCGTACGTAACACTGTCAAATCCATATGAATTGCGATATTAATCTTACGTCACATTTTACTGCGGTAGGCCACAAATCTCAAAGAATGGCATCCAATCATCCCGAAACCTAACGATTGGAAACACCTTAATTCCATTCGGCATACAACGCGATGTTTCTCGGCAGCGACTGCACGATGTGACATACGAGACTTAAGAGACCGGACCTAGATCTCTGAATTTCGCCATGCTGCAGACGTCCGGAGGTACGTGAAGGGCGTAACTCACATTAAGTGGCCCTTCTACAGCCCATATATGGAGCATGATGCAAAGAAAAGCATTATCCTAGTCCTGTGCCAGATTCAGGAGGTACATTTTCCGACTTGTCTCGGGCACGCTAATGATGCATATTTCTTCATTTTAACAGCATGAAATTCCAGAATTGAAACTTTTTTTTCATTTTAAAATGAAAGATAATGAGGGAATAAAACTTGAAACATTGTTTCACGAAAATCGTCAGAAAGGAGCGAAAATAGAACAATATCTCGAGGTTATCGACAAATCATCAGGCCATCACTACTCCAGAAAAAAAAAAGGAAAAAAAAAAAACGGAACTGAAACGAGGACAGAGCATTACATTTTTTCATGAATATTCACAAATTGCAAAGGCAGTTAATCTCCGTCACCTCTACCAGCCTCAGCAAAAATATCGCATTAAACCTGTTCGTTTATAACGGAAAATTTACACCTGTCAAACAAAAAAAAACCTCGCTGTTCCTAAAAATAAATAAATAAATATAAAAGAAACGGGTCTCACCTTCGAGCTTCATCCCAACTTCGAGACACTTCTGAAAACGACAGTAGGGGCACCGCTTCCGCTGAGTCTTATCGATCTGACAGTTTCGGTCCGCCACACACGTGTACACTTTCTTGTTCTGGACGGTCCTCTTGAAGAATCCTTTGCAGGACTCGCAGGTCAACAGGCCGTAGTGATACCCGGACACTTTGTCACCGCACACGGGACAGGCTTCCTCGATGAAGCCTTCCTTGGTGTCGGGAAGCTCCTGACCCCCGACCCCAGCCACTGATGGGTACTCCGTCGTCGTTCCTAAGGAGAACAGGCAGGAGTCAACCGGGGATCCCAGGCCCGGCCCGAAAATACTGTTATTGTTTAGCTGGAGAGTGGACGTCGCGCCCGCGTCACTCCCGAACCCCGGAAAGGACACATTGTACGACTGTTGGGAGGCCCCGGTCTGGCCGGGGTGTCCCGGCGGTCCAAAGCCCAGCGACAACGCCATCGACACGGGGGACGGGCTACCACCAGTACTCAGGCCCAGCCGTTGCTGGCCGCTCGGGGAACCCGAACCCGATATCGACGTCGGAGGGTGATGCCCCGCGTTCCCTTGGTTCCCGGCGTTCGATCCCGCTCCGGGGAAAAGATGCACACCCGTCATGGGTAACTCCATTCTTATGAGCATAATACGTCAAACTCAATTTTTCACCATTTTGTTTTCGTTTTCTCTCCCTGCAACGCTCACATACACACACTAACACTTGGCGATTCACTTATCTAGGATACCCATACGGGGTTCAAAATTCATCATCATGTGCTTGCTGCGACGGTCAAAATCGGATAACATGTTGTCTCTCTCCAGGTCGAAACACAAACGTGCATGAAGGGATTTGTTTCATGGCTGTGGCTAAAAAGCCACTGCCTCGAATGAGGCATGGGATTCGCTCTCACACATGTTCTTTTTTCCCCGGTCCCAGCCAGTACTGCAGGCCTTCAGGGGAAGGAAACAACAACGAACATCTTAGAAGGGTTGCCCCCACGTCAACAGGATCCCAGAGACCGAACTAGGCGGTAACCAACACGAGTAACGAGTAACCATCATCTAGCATAAGAGAAGAGTCGAGGAAGAAAGAGCGCGAGAGAAGCACGTGCGAAAGGCGTCGAAGAGAGGAGCAGCTACGCCTCCCCCCTCCCATCGAGCCAACACTATAACAAGTGACTCAATGCCGGGACTCGAGCCCGTGGAGGGGATGGATGGATGGATAAAAGTGAAAGCGATTCGTGGCCTACTTTTTGATTTGGAAGCGCGCGCGCTTGCCTTGCCTTGCCTGGCCTCCCGCCTCGCCACGCTGCGCTGCTGCTGGTGCTAGTATTGGGAAACGCGGCAGAGGGGAAGGGAGGCGCTAGTAGATGGCGCTCCCGTCGTCCCCGTCCGAGCTCCCTAGCCCAGTGACCTACTTTGTCCAAGGCTGTGCAAGGGATCCATCCGAGACCGATCCGGACTGGAATGCCTTCTCTTGCCTTGCCTTCCCTCCCTCTCACACTCTTCTCCCTCACACACGCTTTCCTCTCCCTCCCTCCTTCTCCACCCTTCCACTATTACCGCCCCCTCCTCCCGTTTTGCATCCCGCGAACTTCCAGCCATTCTTTCCCCGCGAAGATGAATCTTGTTGCCGCATGATACAAGGTTCTGAATCTCAGAGAGAAGGTGTTACTGGTTATTAGCAAGTTAACGCAGCAAGATTTTTTCCTTCGAATCATCCACGAATCGATTCTTCCTCGCGGATATAGATCTACGCGTAGATTGGAACCAATGCCTGCTCGAAAACACCACGAAACCGAATATTCGCGGAACTCCCGAAGGGGAACGAAAGACTGAAGGCAGAATTTCCATTTTCGTAATACGAGCGCTCGCATAATTATTCCTCGCAGACAGGCGATCGAGATACTTCCAGGAAAAAAAACAACAACAAGGAATTCGCTCCAAGTCAAGAGGTTGGAGCAGGAAAGTACAGAAACAGTACTCGCCGGCATTAGAGGAACCACTTTTGTCATGAATCAAAAACGAAGTTGGATATGCCAGGAAATAAACGAGAAGCACACAGCTCCATGCAGCATCATGGACGTCTATCCCCGACTCGCAGGCGGGAACAGATACCGACTGGCTCGGACTCGCGCAGCCAGATATCCGACACGGTTCCCGGCGTTCCCCACCTTCGACGGAAACACAGAGGACAGATACAGGATGGTTCGATCCAGTCCGCCGGTGTACATGAGGCAGTTTTTTGTCGTCCACGTGGTTCCCCACCCTCAATACACCTTTTTTTTATAATTAATAAATTCGTTATATTTTTCATCAAACATATATTTAAAAAAAAGTTTAGGTACATGAAATCCAAGTCTAGAATCCGGGTTCTTTATCATGCGCAATCAGCATACGTCTTTAATAAAAACTACATAAAACGACTCCATGCCAATGAGCACTATTGGACACGAGACAAAAAAAAAGAAACACATGGAGACACCGCAGCGCCCAATAGGGATGCGGATGAGGATTTTACAGTTGGATGGAGATAAGCCGAGGTGGAAAGAGACTTTTCTGGACCCCGTGACATCTCATCCCCCCCGCCCCCCTGCCCCCCTGCCCCCCTCTCCCCGTCTTTCCCGTCGAGGTGGGGAGCTTCCCCGCCGGTTTCCGACTTCGCCGTCCCGCTTTCGTCGGTTCCCTGGGTCTTTAGTGACCTCTGTATTCTCCACTCAATTAAACCGCTTTCAAAATTCCCCCTTCCACGAAGGTGACGTCACCGCGCGTTCGCGATGTGGTTTTATGAGACAATAAGGAAACCTATTCATTGCCGGACTAAAGTCGGGGCACGAAATGCCCGGAAACAGCCCTTTCTCATTACGACCCCATTCCGATCGGTAACACCTCCTAATATTGCCTCTGACATCACTTTCGCGATGAAAACTTGGAAGTGCCGCAATAAAATTTTTTTTTTCCCGTTCCTCTCAGCTTTGAGCACCGATCCAAAGGCATTTATACGTAGGGCGTTGGCGAAAGGGTTCTCTCGCACCGCCAACTCCATGAACTTGTACCATCATTTCCGCGATGTTCTCATCGGTCTCTGTCTCGTCGGAATCGTGAACTTGGAACAATGGAATCCCTCGCCGGGGGGTTATGAAACGCGTGATGAAGAACTCGGACGTCCGGGAGACAATCGCTATAGAAATTTCAGGTTTTTTATGTTCTTTCCCCAGAAACTTCCAAGCGTCCTTCAGACAAATGGATTTCCCCCTTTGAAAAAAAAAACATACCCACACCGCTTCGTGTCAGCATTTCCTCGCAGCTCATTTCCAAGTCACCGAGAACCCATTTCTAGAACCGACACGTCACAGCAGCCTAAGCTGAAATCCTTCACCCGTTACAATCTAAATGTGCAGCGGGACTTGGAATATGACGGATCGAGTGACTCGCCAATATGTGCTTCATAACTCCCAGATGAATCCAACTGGCAACATCTGGCGATATTTCGAGCGCTAAAAAGAAATTGGAACAAAAGAAAATGTTGTTGGTTGTTTCAGGACAAAGCCAGAAATTTCAGGCATCTCCTGAGACCTCTTGGACACAGGTCGGAACATCGCACCGCTATGCAACCGAGAAAAAAAAAAAAAAAACCTCTACAACTTCACCATCCCATTCGACAGCCCTTAAGCTCGCGTCGCCCAAGCCACTTTCGGGCCGAGTTCGACGACGGAGGGCGACACGGGACGAGAGCGTGTTGGAAAAAATGGGACACGAGGACGCGAACATGCTCAACGAAGGACATGATGGACACAACACGCTCCCAAGACGTGTCCTTGAGAGTAAACGACGGCAGCTGATGGCGTTCCGACTGTTCGCTGCTGATGCTGCCGGGAGAAAAAAAAAAAAAACCACCTCGCCTATACTTCTACTCGCAATAGCTGCAAATATCGTTCCGTTCTGATGGTCAGGATGTCGTTCCGGTATTTTAAGATAAAAACTGCATCGCTTCGCTATGGTCACGTTAGGTGCTATGTAACTTCAAACATCACGTTCAAAATTCCAACAGGAGCTCCAGAAACGTAGGAATAATAATACGAAGATACTGAAAGAAAAAAAAAAAGAGAAGAAAATAAAACGAAGAAATAAGGAATACAAGTCGAAAGGTCGCACTTTTAGGCTGAAGTGAAACCTCACGTACGAGTACGACGACAATTTTTTTTTATCAAGTTCAAGCACATGGAAAAAATAAAAGTGTTTATTTTTAGATACAGATAAACAGCCAGCCTACAGATAATGAAAAAAAAAAAAACAAACAGAAAAGTCGGGAAACGCGACTACGTATAGGAACCGATGTCCCGAACAGCCAGAGTTCGATTCCACCGGGAGGTTTGACCGTGGCCGCTCCCAGCCTCGGTTGCCCTCCCTTCCAAATGCAGAGAATGGGTTTTCTGCCGCGGGGACGGACGTCGTTACTGACACGATTCCATGTGAACAGATTATGACACACAGGCTCGAAAAGAATAACTTTTTTTTTTACGTTTTTAACTATGCAGTAACGTTTCCGTAACATTACGAATGGGTTGAGAGAATCTGAAATGTTACGGTAGTGTTAGTGCATGCACTAACAGGAGTTTTTATTTTCGGTTTCGCTCCGTTCCACGCGGAATAGTTCCACATGGCTATGGCTATGGTATCGTTACGTTATACAGCCCTGCCCCGTTTCCTGTGATGTTGCGTGGCTCTCCTATTCCATCCAACTTCAGGTATGAAGAACACAAAATAGATGGGGTTGAGGTATCGTCGCCCGAGGCTAACCGCGAAGCTAACTGCATCACGATGTCAAAGACGGAGTTCCCTAAATGATGACGTTACCTCCATCTCCATTACGGGAATCGTCGATGGCCGATCGCGATGAAGCGTGAGTCACCGCCGAAGACCGGATTTTTTTCCTAATATCCCCCTACCGGAGATGGGGAACGAGCAGCTCTACCGACGGACCAGAAATTATTATAACCATTACGTTTCCCAGGGGAGGCTGCGAGTTGGATCTCCGCTCGGCGTGGAACTACGCCCACATTTAAAAGCTCGTTCTCGCGGTAGAAAGCACGGGCTTTCGCCTCGGATTTGGAGTTTGTGACGCATTCGGTCTCTTTCGTCGCCTTTTTCGACGGTCGAATCGAGGGGTACGGCTGCTTCCAGTCGCCTCGGCAGTGTGCTCTATTGCAACATATGTTCCCAGTCCTAAAAGATATATATATATATCTTTATTTTTTATTTTTTTTTTTATCGCTAATCGTTTTCCATTTCTCCAGGCTCCGAGGCAGTAAACATCCTGATATCCATCTCCATGCGGAGCTGAAATCCGACAGTCTGCGAGTACTTCCACTGAGACACAAAAAAAAATCCTGAAGGAACAGGCTGGCACACCGGTATCAAAGCCCATGTAGGGCAACTGGTTCACCTTGAAGGAGAGGGGGGGGGGGGGGGAATGCGACCACTGCCTCCATGAGCACGCGTGTGAGACGGTGCAGAATGTACGAGAAGAAAGAGTCCCCATTCCAGTCCCATTACTGATAGGAGATTCTGGTTCATAGTACATGCCACACCTCGTCTCGCGTCTCCTAAGATTGCCAACA